ATTATGTGTATATTTCAAATACGTAAATAATTATAGATTCATGGAAAAGCACTTAATGGTATATGACAAAAGCACTGTAATTGCTGAACTACACAAAAGAGCAACAAGATTGCACAGGAAAAACAAACCTCTAGCCACACACGAAGGGAAGAAGCTAGTGCCACAGCCAGCTTCACAGCTGGAGCCCTGTGGGAGCCTGGGCTAATTAAAGATGGCACCTTAATGTAAAGCAAACAAAAATCCTCACCACTGGACCAATAAACAACATTATGACAAATGGAGAAAAGACTGAAGTTGTCAAGACTTCATTTTGCTTGGATCCACCATCAACACTCAAGGACGCAGTAGTCAAGAAATCAAACAATGTATTATTGCATGATGCAAATCTGCTGCACAAGACCTCTTGAAAGTATACAAAAGCAAACATGTCAGTTTGAGGATGAAGACGCGCCTGACCCAAGCCATGGTATTTTCAATAACCTCATATGCATGTGAAAGTTGAACAATGAGTAAGGAAGGCCGTAGAAGAATTGATGCATATGAATTATGGTGCTGGAGAAGAAAGATTGAAAGTTCCATGGATTGCCAGAAGAACCAAAAATCTTCGAAGACGTACAGTCAGAATGTTCCTTAAAAGCCAGGATACCAGGACTTAATCTCTCAGCCTTCGGACATGTTATCAGGAGGAACCAGTCCCTGGAGAAGGACATCATGCTTGGTAGAGTAGAGGGTCTGAGAAAAGGAGGAAGACCCCAACGAGATGGAGTAACACAGTAGCAGCTTCAATGGGCTCGAGCGTGACGATTGTGAGGATGACGTAGGACCAGGCAGGGTTTTGTTCTCGAGCAGACTCGATGGCACCTAACAACATGTGTCAGTCCACAAGGTCAGGGCTCAACCCCTCCAGCCACTCCTCAGAAACCCTATGCAGGGTCTCTATGAGTCAGAAATGACTGGATGGCACTTAACAACAACAAAATAGGTCAGTTGCTCTGAATGAAAAATGACAGCATTTCTATTGAAACAATAAAAGCCCTACGTGAACACAACGCTTCAGGGTAAACCGGCTTTCCTGTGCGAGGCGAGGGCAATGACAAGAGTCTTTAACCACACACAAGAGCTGATTAAAAAAAAAGGACGCTGCAGCCTTTGCACAACAGTGCAAAGGTAAAAACCACCACAGTGCCCACCGAGGGACGAAGGTGGCCCATACACATATGATGCCACACTCTCGGCCATCAAGAGAAATGAAGTCCTGATAATAATGCCACCACCAGATGAACCTAGGAAGCACAATGCTCAGGGACTAAGTCAGGCACAAAAGGACAAATAGGGTATGATCTCACTGGTGTGAAACAAGCAAACACTCATGTCCAGGGGTGGAAGGGAGCAGGGACAGGAGTTTTTGCTTGGGGGGCAGAGAGTTTAGGCTAATGGGCATGGAGCGGTTCCACATCAATGACAAGTGTCATCATAGGTATTCAGTACCACTGAACTGCACATGTCGAACTGCTCTATGGGTATATGTTTGCTGCATGTACCGCAGTAGACGAGAAGGAGAGAGAGAGCTATTCTTTCTTTACTAAAAGACTATCTACAGAGAGACAGGAGAACTGCTGGGCTGGTCCTGCCTACTGAGCAGGACTCCTAACTCACTGGGAACAACTCACCTATAGAGTACACTTTACATCTTCGTGGAGGTTTGTTGTTGTTGTTTTTCCCACAATTTCACCAATAAGTTTCTATTTTCTGGCAAGTTTCTCTAGAAATATGATTCAACTCACTTGATCCTAAACCCAGCTTCTCTCCTGAGTATACTAGTTTCCAAAATGCCACAGCTACGTGGTATTAAGTATTGAATGTTTTTAGACTGAATTAACTTTTACAATTATTCAGGTTCCTATAAGGAAGGAGTCGTTGAGATACTGCACTGTTTCTGGGAAAATGTGAGAAGAGAGGTAGTTACAGTGAGGGCCAACTGCTGCTCCTACAGATGCTGTGTTTTTTGTTGTTGTTTTAATGTTTTATTTACAAATCCTGTTTTGAAGTGCAGATATTTACTAAAAGATGTCTCTTTATTTAAGGCATCTGGTATATTTCTGAGAGGCTTCACAAGCAGGCTGAG